TGTGCACTAACTCTGTGATCAGCACGCTGGGCTGGAGGGAAGGCACGACAAGTCTCTTCAAGAAGAATGGTGTTGACTATGTCATGCTCTGTGCACAGGGCAGCCCCTGGGGGCAAGGCTGACAGTCGAGTTTCCACAGCTTGTTGCAAAGCCTGGGCCGCTTCAGAGTGTTGTGACACCGCTGATTGCAGAGCTGCAGCCTCAAACCTGTAGTCGGCCTGAGGCTGCGAGGCACGGTATGCCATGGGCAGCATCTGGACGACAGCCTGCACCGGGTGATGGTTGGTTTGGCGATAGGCTCCCACCGGGAAGGAATGCATGGGTGCAGCATGTTTGGCTTGATGATTGGCGGAGTGTGTTCGGAGCAGCACATAGTCCAGCTGGCTCTTGACACTGGGTGATGTGAAGGTGTGATGGGGTCTAGAGTGCCAGGTATTAACTGCACAGAGGTCGCACTCTTTTAGTAGGGTTTGAAGGTCCTTATCGTGATTGGCATGAGTGGCAGGCTTAGGGACGGAGGGGCCTACGTGAGGATGCATGGGAGTAAGGGTGGCATTGAAATCCCCGGCGATCACTAATTGATGTCTCGCTGGTGTGGCTGTGATGAGGGCCTGCAGACTGTGCCATATGTGTGTGCGAAGGCTGCGATTCTGGGCTGCACTGAGGTGTGGCCTCCAGACATGCTGGTACAGGCCAACTATGCATACTGGCATCTGACTGCGATGGTGAGTTGCTGTGACCTGAAGGAGTCGGCCTTGCACGTGTTCCTTGACTCTGGGTTCGGCGAAGCATTTGCAGGATAACATGCACAAGATGCCTGCGTATCTGTCTGGTTCCGCTCCCTCTTTGTGTCCTGTGCTATGGATGCAAAGCCACTGGCCGCTACGGTAGTCGTCCACTTGCCTCCAATGTGTTTCGGAGATAATGATGACATCGTATTTTTCTGTGGCTTCTCGAGTGTCACACCAGGCCATGAGTTCTTGAGTCATGGCAGCTGAAAGACCCCCTGCATTCCAAGCAAAGACCCTAAAGCGGAATTCCGGCCTGGTGGTGCGTCGTGGCTGTGTTCGAGCTGTCCTGGGCACTCGGGGGACGGTGGTTAGGGCAGTGGGGGGTTTAACACGAAGGGCATTGAGAGTGGCACGGGTGTGCCAACGGTTTCTGTACCAGGTCCCCTCCTGGATGGATTGGTTGGCTCGACGACAAGCTCGATTGAAAGCTCTTTTCATAGGTCTAGTCGGATGTGTGTGTTCCCTGCCTTGATGCGCTGTGCCGTGATGCTTCCCCGGACGAGGTCCGAGTCCATCCTCCGTGACGGCTGCAGCAGAGGAAACCCTCGCCCCAACTGTAGCAAGTATGAAGACGTGGATGGCCGGCTTTACATGTCTACAGTCTCCGGATTTGGGACCGGAGGGGACCGAGTTACTCTTATGTTTACCTGGCATCCCCTGCTTCTTAGGGTTATGAGCCTTATTTGGGGAGTTGTCGATGCACAGGTTTTGCACGGGTAGTCTGGGAGAGCTATGGTTATGAGCCTTATTAAGGTTGTTGGGCGGACAGTGTGCAGCTGCTCCTGCTGGGTCAGCTTGCTCGGTCTGCACGGAACCAGGCGAAGCAGAAGATCGGCGGCTGCATGGCTTGGCTGGACGCAAGCGTAGGCGCGGGTGTTGAAACCTCGCTGCTCGGAGGTTTCTGGCCCTCCATGGCGCAAGGGTAGAGAGGCAGCACTCAGGGCTGCCCATCCACGGCACGCGATGATCGCCTTTCGCCTGCCTTGCGGAAGCCCCTTGCATGGGCCATACACCAGTTCTGCCATTGCAGCAATCGCTCTCCTGTGAGCTGCCTTTGCAGAATTTCACGTAGGTTGCTCCAGCTTTCAGCGGCAATGGACCGTTGAAACCAGCTGTGCTTCCCCGCCCGGCTTTTAGCACTACGGCCACCATCTGTCTCATCCAGTTCGCGGCGGTACAAGGCACTGGCTTCGGCTCGTGCTCGGTCCAATGCGTCTCCACGCAACACCAGTGAAAAACTGCTGCTCTCGCTGATACCTGCCTGGCTTGATCCGTCCTCAGAAAGAGAAGATGAGGAGGACGAGCTGTAGAAGATCGGTGCTTCCTTCGCGGCTGCGGCTCGGACGGAACGTTCCTCAGCAGTTCGGGGCCGTTGTGCTCCTGGAGGCGGCGGAGGCCCTGCAGGCTTACTGTGGCCCACAACATTAGCAGCATCAGCATCTGAAGCAGAGGCAGCAGGTGCCGCCGGAGTTCGCTCGATCGAGTCCGTCCTGCGACTCTTCCGAGCTCCAGCATGGCTCATGACCGCAGCAGCTACCAGTTGATCAAAAGAGTCTCGGGCCCAGGGGCTTCATCACCATGACCATCATCATCATCACCACCGTCATCATCACCATGACCATCATCATCATCATCACCACCGTCATCATCATCGTCATCATCACCATCATCATCACCATGACCATCGTCATCATCATCGTCGTCATCACCATCATCATCACCATGACCATCATCATCATCATCATCACCACCGTCATCATCATCGTCATCATCACCATCATCATCACCATAACCATCATCATCATCATCACCACCGTCATCATCATCATCATCACCACCGTCATCATCACCATGACCATCATCACCACAATGACCAGTCATCACCACCGTCATCATCACCATGACCATCATCATCATCATCACCGCCGTCATCATCATCACCATCATCATCACCATGACCATCATCATCACCATCACCGCCGTCATCATCAGCGTCATCATCACCATCATCATCACCATGACCACCGTCATCATCACCACCACCGTCATCATCATCGTCATCATCACCATCATCATCACAATGACCATCATCATCATCATCATCACCGTCATCATCATCGTCATCATCACCATCATCATCACCATGACCATCATCATCATCACCATCATCATCACAATGACCTTCATCATCATCATCATCACCACCGTCATCATCATCATCATCACCACCGTCATCATCGGCGCCAGCAACAGCAGCAGCGTCATCACCATCACGAGCTTCACAGTAGTACCAACAGCAGTAGTACGTGTAGAGATAGAACGCGGAGGGTCATAGCCTCATTGCAAACACTTCTCGTGGCAGCGGTGTCGCAGTAGTACTTGTAGTATGAGTACGAGCAGCTGTAGCAACAATCACCACTATCAAACATGAGCAACTGCAACTGGCCGAACTGGTGGTACATTCAGTATTAAGATTAGCAACAACGAGAGCAATAATGAGAGCACTTGGCATCAGTTTCGTCTTCTGGGGCACGGGTTTTTGTCATTGCTGCTCTTGATCGTTGCCACGGTTGCCGCAACCTCCGAGACACCCGTTTGCGTATCATGGCTCCTCTCGTGACACAGGCAGCACCGACGGCGACGTCTGATTTCAAGTCCAAGGCCCGAACAATGTCCGATAAATCCGGTCCATGGAAGAGGTTTTCGGGGCCATCTCGATCAGCAACCAAGCCATTGAATAGCTTTGAGTTCGGGCGGGCACCTGCGGAATCTTTAACACCAAACCACCTTACTCCTTGAGGTTTCTAGGGGCATTTTGTGGTACCTTGATCCTGACGGATGCGGTGTGAGGGTTTGTAGTTGGCTTTCTGCGTGTGGCTTTCAGAGTGGGCAGATGTGCAAAGGACCAGGGGTTGCGAGGATTATGGGTTTACGGCTTCTGTGACCTGTTGTGTATATTGTATATTCGCTGCTTTGATCACAGTTGCAGTTGATGTTGCTGCACTTGAGGAGTTACAATGCGGAGATGTGAGAGACCCAGTAAGCTTGGTCACGATGACTCAATATCATTCGCTAAGTGCGAAGCTGCATAGGCAAGCTACAGCCCAAAGTGAGGCTCTTCAGGCGCTGATGTCGTTGCCCTTGTTCGGTCCCTGAACATCAAGGTTTTGCAGCTCAAACTCTCTCCTGCGCAATTGTTTACAACATCTAACTAACTTAGTGGCCAGTCTGGACAAGCGGAATGTGATCTGCTCTAATCCAAAAATTGTAGTCACAGTTCATGTACAGGTATGAGCCGTGGCCTAAATAACCGCGTTCATCTTCCAATGGCAGCCTACGGCGGTTCCGCCTTACCAAACGACGGTCCTCTCTTCGCAGTCTACTAAGGTACAGTCCAACCCACATGAGCGCCTTAGCATCCCTGATCAAAGCATGGTGTGACGATCACGAAGATGAAGGGCTTTTTCCCAGCCACGAGCATGGACGGCGTTGCTGAACGTGCGACCGAACATGTACGGTCTCCGTAAGCGTAGATGAAGCATACACCCCCACTTTCGCCTGCACGATGGGTGCCTTGTAGGACCCTGGTGGAGGATCCCCATCCTTAGGCGGCCAATCCGGCAAGGTCGCGAAATGGGAGTTGCCTGTCTGTCGTTCCGACGCTCGAATCACCCTCGTGCTATCTGGCTCAGTACAATCCACGCATGATATGTACCTCAGCACAATCGATCTCAACATCATCGCAGCGTGTTTGATGTTTCCAAGCGTCCAAGCAGCCACCTTTCTGCACCTACCACCAGCGGCATTGGTCTTTTGGACCGCATGGGGCCCAGGAGTAACAGTCGTTGACTCCAACCACAAGTGGTCCTTTCATCGCGATTGCTGCTACTCACAGTGTCACCAGGATTTGTCTCCACTGCTATCAGTGTTTCTTCCCCTGCTGCCGCTGTTTGCATTTGCAGTACCAATGTCTACGTGTTCATGACTAACATGTACCTCGCCCTTGTGGCAGGCTCGCAGTGTTCGTTTTCAAGAGGATGCTCCGCAAGTCAAGAGCGACAAGGCCCCCAGAAGTCTAAAAGCCTTAAGCCCCTAGCCCGAAGCCTACTTATCCCGCCCTGAAAGGACGAGAAAGAGAAGAAGACAGAGACGACGCCGCAGGAGCAAGATGATTTGACCGTATCCAATGCAAGTTCGAGGGAGGACATCATGGCAAAGACGATGTTCGATATGGTCAGCACAGTTACACTGGACAACCCAGGGGTGTCCTATCGGGTCTTGTTCGCTACAGAAAGACAAGCGCAAATTATTGGGAACAACCCGGACACTCTTGAGAAGTTGGCTGCGCAGTTTCGCACTGAGGAGACTGCTAAGCCAAAGGTAGTAATAAACTTGCTTACCTCCCTGGGTACCTCACAGCTTCGAGAGAAACGGAAACAACATCCTGATGAAGATGAGCAGCACCGCTTGGACATGTTCATGCGGCATGTTTTACTGCCCATTGCGGAGCAGACGAACGCTCTCGTCTTATGTGACGCGGTTGCGGACCGATGTATACTTGCAGATTCCTTTGTTCGGATGTGTCGGGTCAGACACGCTGCTTGGAACAAGAAGATGCCCTTTACAGCGGTGGGTGTCACAACGATGAACGAACTGGATAAAAGGTCCGGGGAATGTTGTTTCTGGCGAGAGCTTATGGAGAAATGTAAGGGAACTTGGGAGGACGAATGGTGGAAGTACTACCGGAATCGACAACGGAACATCGACAAGAGCATCCCCACCGGGACTGGTGGAGTTGGGGATATCCAGCCTCTCCTGCCGAACTTGCTGCTGTGGCTGTCAATTCATCAAATGTTCGGCCAGTTGTTGATCGTTGACATAATCTATAGGCATCCATGTTTGCCGGGGAGTATGCCTTCCAAACTCTGCCATGCAGAATAGCGAGTCTGTTGTTTCGTTATGTTGCCAAGCCTGTACGTTTCGTATTGCACTCTTTCTGCCCATCGTCACGTGGTCGACTAGCTTGGTCCTCATGAAGCTTGAGGGTGCTGAACATTTGTTGGCTTGTTGATCTTTGGGCCTCCAGTGTACGCCGCTAATGCAGAAGCACAGCAGCCCCGATGCCCTTTGGCCTTGTGTCCGGTTTTGCTGTTGTTATTCCCTGCATAGAGGAGTATAGAGAGTTGTCGAAGATTAAGTTCAGGATCATCGCTGGAGGCTTCGAGAGCAGCAGCAGCAGTCGTGCTGCGGCCTCGACCCTGAAGACGGCTTTGGTCTCACACCTCGGTGCGAGCATACCATCTATAGCTTTCAAGACAGGCATGTCCGAACTATCGTACCTGAAACAAACCACTGAATCTGGTCTGGAGATTGCAGTGGATGCCATCCAGCAACAGACGGCGGTTGTTTTTTTGGACCTGTTTCGCAGAGACAAGCTGCAGCTTGAGAGCATCTTGGAGTCGATCCCCGGAACCGACAGTGTGAAGACACCACAGGACTTGCCAGTACGGGCACGGCATTTCACGAATGGCGGTGAGGACTGTGAGACTGAGTTTTTGAAGGGAGCTGAAGCCATGATGCTCAAGCGCAACACTGCTGTCGAGAACGCCAAGAAAACCAGCTTCTTCGATGCATGTGCGATTGCAAAGCTTCATTCGAGGTGCCACACGGTTGCGATGTGTTCTTAACTTTAAAAGTTTTTCGACATGCAATCGTGCTTCTCAGCAGGCCGTCTCGTGTATGTTACGGGGTACGGTCCGTCGGATGATCGTTTTTGATTCGTGTGCCACTTGGGGAGAGGCCTTGTGGCCGGCCGAAGGTATCGGTCGAAGACTGGAGAGAGAAGACGGGTTTTAGGGTTTAGAGTATAGGGTGGATCTGTTTCAATTTGTTGCTCCACACAAACAACATGTTTGCTACAACCCCCTGCAGGTACCGGAGATTCTTTGGAGAGACCAAAAAGCAGCAGCGGAGGTTTGCACTCTGGCAGGCAATATGCTTGGAGGAAACATGTGGGTGCTTGACAGCTTCAGCATGTCTTCATCAGGTACATGGTAGTGCATTGTGTTTGTCCTTGAAAATTGACGGCCTTGCAGGAGCGCAACCGCGAAACACGAGACATAGATGGAGTCCGACAAGCTCGTTCCGTGTTGTACAAAGTGTTCCAAGAGCACGCAAAAGAGATGGGAGTTGCTCCTTGCCCTGCATTGTTAGTTCGGCAGTCGCTCATGAGCATGTTCATGTTGCTGGACGAATCCATGGGAGAACATGTTCTACTGCCTTGTGATGCCACACAGACATTGAACACTACATGCAGACAGACGCCTTTTCAGCGTTTTTTCAACGTGGTGTTGATCACAAATCCCGATGACACTGGAACGGAGAGTATTTGCACCAGTTGTGACATTGGTTATCATCGTGATGATTGGTTTCCCTAGAAACAACAACCCGGCCACACGGCGATCAGAGATCACACCAACAGCTGAAGCCGATGCGGGGGACCACAGCAAACGGGAAAGGCGACACCGGTGGACGAAGGTGCTAAGATGGGAGGAACGATGGAGCGTGTACCATGCAGCCATAGAACCTTCCACCCATTTCGCATCTCGAAGAAGATTGAATGAGTCTGCTAGCGAGTTGCATCAGGGACGGGTGCAGCCCCCGTAAAGGAAGAAATAAAGACAGCGAGAGGGCGAAAGATGGACGGGGATGGGTTGTCCTGGGCAAGAAAGCAGGCAAGCAACCAAGAGATTGCGAATGCCAAGCATAGAGCGACTGATTTTTAAATTGTTTGGCCAGAAATAGCTAGAAAGAACGCAGATCGAGGACATCGCTCTAAGAAGCTCCGTGCATCTTGCACTTGGTTCTGTCAAAGGTCTTTGCAGCTGGTTGGGAACATTCCGTGTTCAAATTGGCTGGTTGGCAAAATTCCGTCTTCAAACCGGCTGCGGTTTTGGAGGACGAAGACGACGAAGCCCAGGCATCGGAGTGCGCGTAACGTAGTAATATCGGGTTTAGGGTTTAGGGTTCAGGGTTAGAGGTAGGATGGTTCATGCAATTGGTACAAAAGAGGGCTGGGATTCATCTGGATGCAGGACTATGCGAGGCATGTGGTTGGACGGGTTGTTAAGAACAGAACTGTGTGGAATGGCAAAGTGGGCAGTGCTGAATGTACATGTGCCACGAAGAGGAAAGCAAGTTATCGACAAGGCATAGAAGCAAATCCATGGTCAATTCTTATGGTGTTAGAGTAGGGATCGAGCACGATGTGCGACAGGAATGCTGTGACCTGCCGATCACACGTCAGATGCACAGCGTTTGTAAGAAGTTTGAAACAGGGGAGCCGGGGGGATGACAGTCTCGACGTCGCTCATTCGTGCGTTGGATCACAAGCTTCAGCCGTTGATTCGGTGTTCCGGTTCAACCCAACCCCACTGCTACTGTACGGCCTTACCCAGTCCACATTGAAGCTTGGAGGCAGAGTCAGATGCAGCCGCAAACGAGAAACTCCAGAAGGAGCATGAGGAGTCGGCGACGTATGCTTTCGTCGCGCGATCGACGGAACTGGTGAGCTCCGAGTTTTTCACTTCGATCAACATTTGGCGAGGCCAAAGTGCCCTGGAGAGGAGGATCTACGCAATCCTAACGAGGTGCGAATGTAGCTCGGAATGCCTTGTAACCCTGTTCAGTCGTCCCAACGCCTGCTCCAATTGTTTAGGTCCCTACAATGAGTTGAGGATGCAGCCTTCAAGTTAAAGTGTCTCACATCCTTCACCGTGCTCTGCTAGCGAGTCAGTCATGAGTCAGTTTCCGTATTCTTCCCAAAGTCGCCCTGATAGGAGCAGGCTTCCGCCTCAACACAACCTCGAGGCTCTTCGGCTGTTGCTTGATGCCTGGACCGAGTATGACGTGGCTAAACACTTGGCGACATACTATGGTCGTTTGAGCCGGCTGTGGTATTTTAGCCAGATTGTGTGTGGGCTGGGTACTGTCGTTTTCAGCGTTATTGCGCAAGCTTTCGTCTTGGAGGAGTTCTACACTTCGTTGATAAACTTTACCATATCCTTGTTCTGCACAACCCTCATCTCCCTCCATGCCTTTGCCAATCCCACAACCCGTTGGCACAAATTGCGTTGTGCCGCAGCGGATCTGGAGAGTTTAACATGGCTTTTCCGGACTAAGTGCAGGCAGTTCGAGTCGAGTGACATAGACTCCGTGTTCAACTCAGTCAAGCTTTTTCGGGAGCAGCTTAACGAATGGCGTAGAAACGTCGTTCGCGGAACGGATTTGCATCGATCCGATTTCCAAAAGAAGTGGCCGCATGATAAGTTGACCAGGGGACAACACGAGAAGAGCCGCATATACAGTGACAAGCACTGTTTCGTTCAGAAGCCACCAGACGACGAGGACATGCATGAGGACGATGACGTTATTAACACATCCACAAAGCATCCAGCAGACGGGGTCCTCCCTGACCATTCGCCCCGAAGACGACAAGTCGTTGTTACCGAGGTTTTTTGGCAGCGTTTGTGCTGCTGCCGCAAGTTCAGGCCCTCGCCCCAAGAGGCGGCCAAGCCCTCGCCCCAAGCAGTGGAACGAGCATACAAGCAAGCACACGGGGAAGAATGGGACCCCAGAGACGACCATGAAGAGAATGACAAGAGCCAAGCAAGTGATGCGGAGGCACAGTCAAGAAAGGCAGAGGCATCGCAAGCTTCGTTGGAGGCTTGGCAGGATGACCACCACAGCCCCGTGAACGCTGACGAGTATATCCGGTGGCGTTTGCAGACAATGCGGCGATTTTACGAGCAACGTCTTCCAGTGTACGCGAAGTATCACCGGTATATCTTCGCCTTGACGCTGCTTGGGTCTATGGGCAGCTCCATCTTTGCCTACATCAGCCTGAACTCTTGGGTGGTTGTTGCGTCTTCACTGAGCACCTCGGCATCCTCCTGGATGGAGTTCTCCAATGTCTTGCAGAACATTCAACGTTACTCCGACACCATACAGGAATTGAAGAAGCTGGAGGCTTGGTGGGAGAGCCTTGCGCCGATGGAGAAGGCTTCAAAGGAGAATCTAAACCTTCTGGTCTGCATCTTTCAGAAGATGGAAGCTTTTGTCTTTGAAGCCGCTTTATGAAGTAGACCCTCGGTGCTGTCATGTCGCCTTGTCAGTCACTAGCCATAAGCCACAATATGATTCAGTCTCGGTGTCCTGAACCCTGATAACCCAAAAGCTACCCTAGCGGCCCTAGCGAGAACCCAGAAGCGAATGCCTGTACATGTTTTGGAGCCCATGACGCAAGATGAAGCTTTGAACATTATACAGAGCAAGATACATGCACCTCGTCTACACATAGAACTTACATATTCTCATATATATATGTATATATGTCTATCTGTGTGTATATATGTATGTATGTATATAATTATGTATGTATGTATGTATGTATGTATGTATGTATGTATATATATATATGTGTATCTCTATCTATCTATCCATCTATCTATCTATCCATCTATCTATCTATCTATCTATACATACATACATACATACATACATA